TTATCAATTATCATTTTCTTATGAAACATTGTCAGCTTTCTTTTGGACTTCTGAAAATGAGAGTTCTCGGATGAATACATATGATGAGTATGCCCTTCTTCAAAATTAGAAACAATGTAACCTCCATCTTCGCAATACTTTAAAATCATCTTTGCCTTACAACCAACTCGAGTAGACAATCTTCTTTTAACCATAGGAGTATTCGCTTCTTGACAATCATAGTCTTCTTTATCTTGACCAACAACCACTTCTTCAACATTCATATCATCTACAAAATTATCATCTTCTTCCCCGATACTATCAACTTTCTCTGTCACCACATTATTTCGTTTTTCTTTAAACCCAGCTTTATTACATACAATAATTTGAAAAGAAATAATACCATTTTTTCTTTTTTTGACCGTCGACTTTCTAGTAATAAATCCTACAACAGCTGCGTAGGACTCATAAAAACGCAAACCTTCATCAAGTTTTGAAAATTTCATACCTATAGTTGGTCTAATTTCACTATCACAACATGGAATCCATATCTTCGTTCCACCAGGGGTAAAAGCATGAAGAACATTAGACGTACCAAATTCAACAGACAAATCCATGCTTAATATAACTACAGAAAAAAAAAAATTGAGCTCTAACCTTTGATAATGTATTCCAATGGCTGAATCTATTCCAATGGCTGAGATAACGTCTTCCAATGACTGACCCATAATGTATTCCAATGGAATACAACGTCTAACAATGCACAAAAAAAAAAAAAATTACAAACAAGCATTACCTTTTCAAGCTGGCCCACGTGAATTCCCACTATAGTTACTAATAAATTTGAACCATTCATCTAATAAAAATGAATGGTCTTAGATAAGTTCTCATTTTATATTGGTTCTCACTTAAGCCATGGGTTCTCACATGATCCCATTTCTATATATATATATATATATATATTTAGAACAAACACTAATGATATATATAGATCTAATTATAAGTAACTATTGACGTGTGATTTTGTCATACATTTAATTTTTAAATTAATACCATTTAATAATATATTTTTTCTATAATTACTTATTTGAGGATTGTATATACAGTGTAATTTTTTTTTTTTTTTGGTGCAAGTATATACAGTGTAATTATCATTATACATACTCCCATAGAATAAAAGCAAATTCACCAAACACTAATAAAAAAAAAGCATGGAAAGAGGCCGGCGGCTTCATTGTCCTTGGCTCATTGCCAAGTTGTTACTTTTATAGTCCCTCTAACATTATAAATACCAATACATTTACTCGTTATTTGCACATCCAATTCTCTCATCATCACATTCTTCACTAGCTACTCTTACTAGTAATCTTAATTCTTCAATATTAGCCTCTTCACTTATAATATCCTCTCCATTTTTTTTATTAGGAAAACAACACAATAATCATGGGTGTTATCACATGCACATTGGCCGACATCACCAGCCCAGTCGCCGCGTCCCGATTGTTCCAAGCTCTTGCCATTGACAACCACAACTTCATTCCTAAAACCTTCCCTCAGTTTGCTAAATCTGTCGAGTTTGTTGAAGGTGACTCCACCACTGTTGGATGCATCAAAAAGATCAATTTCCCTGATGGTTAGTTTTTTAACGACTAAATATCATGCAATTTTTTTTTGCGTTTGTATCATCAACTAAAAAAGTCATACAACGTTTACAAATGAAATCTAAATTAACATTAATTTTATGTATTTATTAATTAAGATTTCATTTAATTTGTAGATGTCATATGACTTTTTTTAATGAACTGTTTTTTAATTAAAAAAAAAAAACCTTACTATATATATTTTCAAATAATGTTTTTTTTTTTGGTTTTTTTTTTTCATTTTACACAATTTGACTTTTTTGACTTTTATTTAGAGCAAGTTTAGCCATTGGATGTGACATCATTTTTTGTGGTCCCCATTGAAAATGATGTCATCAAATTCTTGTTAAGAATCACTAAGACTTACACAAATTTATCACTTTAGCCTTAAGACTTAAATATTTAACATATTATATGTGTAAAAAAAAGAGGGATAATAAAGTAAAAGTGAGGTGGGTGAAGTGGGTCCCAATCTCAAGTCTTAAGTTGGGTCTTGGAATTTCAAGACCCAACTTGAGACTTGCTTGAGATTTTTGAAGAAAAATGGGAAAAGTCTTAAGCATAAATCTTAAGACTCAAAATGATGATGTCACCCCAAGTCTTAAGACTTGGAGCTAAACTTGCTCTTAGTTGTACGTATTATTTTTGCAGAGGCTCCATTTAAATATGTGAAGAATAGAGTGGACGAGATTGATTCCGGTAACTTCTACCTCAAGTACACTTGCATTGAAGGAGATGTGTTCCCTGATACAGTGGAGTACGCTGTGTATGAAGACAAGTACGAGGTATCCGAAGCCGGAACCCGGTGCAAGATGGTGGCACACTACCACATGAAGGGAGAGAATGTGATGAAGGATGAGGATGTTGAGAAGGCCAAAGAAGGAATTCAAAAGATATTTAAGGCTGTTGAAGAGCATCTTGTTGCCAATCCTCAAGTTTATGCTTGAACTTCACCATAATCCAATTCTAATGAGTGATGAATCTTTACTAATTTATGTTTTCAATTAGGTCGTTTTCTATTGTGAAGAAAAATAATGTCATTTATAATGAGATTATGTAGTGTGTGTGATGATGTCCTTTGCTTTTTCGTTGATAATTTGAGAAAAAATAATAAGGTTTGATTTGAGAAAGTGTTGGGTGAGATATGAATTTATTAGGCGATGTTGTAACTGTCAATTGACTATATAAACCTTTTTAGAGCATTTTCAATTTTTTATGGGTTTATACTTTACTACATTTTATGGTCATTTTGGTGGTCATCATGTTTTGACTTTTGCTACTGTTCATATAAACCTCTTTAATTTTACTGTGTGATTTATTAACTTATGAAAAACTAAGTCAAATGGAGTTTTGTGACTCGTCTCTACATCTATAAACTAAATATCGATGAATTTTAAATAATCTTTAGTTGTGTATAATTATTAGGAAAAATTGTCAAAAATAATACAAACTTTGAGCAATCTGCCAAAAACAAATCAAACTTCCAATTATTTTTGAATAATACAAAGGCCTTGTTTGGCAAGTGGTTGTTGGCGGTTGGCTGTTGGCTGGTTCACTTGGCTTGTTTGACCAGCTGGTATGTTTGGCTGTTTATAATGGCTTTTGAAATTGGCGGTTAAAGCTGGCTGCTTATAAAAGTGTTTGGTAAATTAATTGTTGGTAGTTGGCTGTTTATTAGATAATTTGTGGGCCAACAAGCCAAAAGCCAACAAAAAAGCTACTCAAAGCAGCTTTTTCATTTTGGCTTAAAAGCCAGCTTTTTCACTGGCTAAAAAGCCAACTACCAAACACATTTTTTGGCTGTTTGACCTCATAAAAAAGCCAAAAGCCAAAAGCTAACCAAAAAGCCACCAAAAAGCCATTTATCAAACATGGCCAAACTTTAAGGGTTATCCGCTTTAAACAAGTTGAAACTGATTAGTTCATGAATAAGTTATATGGAACACGTGACATTGTATTATTTTTTTTAAAAATATTAAACAACTTTATAAGATAAATAAAAAATAAAAAAAAATATATAAAAAAAACGGTTAAATAAAGGTTCATTTGGCATTACTGCGGCTTTTTATTTTTTGGTTTTTTGTTTTATAAAAGTATATGATATGTGTTCCATAATGAATAAAAAATTATATAAACTTATTAAAATTATGATAATTTTGAAAACTGACAACAGAAAAGTGAAAACACCTTTTTCTTGTTTTCTGTTTTTGGTTTTTGGTTTTCAAAAAAAACAGGAAACTGAAAACCAAAACTGATGTCAAACAAGCTCTAAGATGTAGGTAAATTAACTTGTTTAAAGAAGATATTCCTTAAAGTTCGTATTATTTAGAAATAATTAAAAGTTTGACTTGATTTTAGCGGATCGCTCAGAGTTTGTATTATTTTTGACAATTTTTCCTAATTATTAAAGATATTACCCCCTCCATTTTTTAAGTTACACTTGTTAATTTCGTCCGATCGATTTTTTAAAAAGCTATGCTTTCTCTTTTGGAAACTCTTTTAGTTTAATAATTTTTTTTTATCTGCTAATGGTCCTCACTCTCTCTTACTTTACCATTTCTCACTCCTTCAATGGTCCTTACTCCCTCACTTACCACTCTACTTTTCAATAAAATAATAATAGTTTTATTATTTTTTCTTATAAATTTTTATTACCTAATTTACCCCATTAAAACTCTGTGCAGTCTCCAATCTAGCTTTAAAAAAAAATGTCACTATTAATCCCAACTTTGCTCCGTCCGCCACTTTTAATCCCAATAAAAAAAATGACATTTAAAAATCAAACAACCTAACAAAATTTATTGTAAAGTTAACCATAATGAATTAATGATATAGAAATAGTGAAATCTCCCATCCAAAATAAAATAACCCAAAAAAAAATTGAGAAAAATTGAAACTATATTATTATTAAAACTCCAAAACAAGGGGTGCCATTTGTCAATTCTTTTTTGTCATTTCGCCATATCACTTTATATTTTTTGCCACGTCACTTTTGCAATTGTATTATTGTATCTAAATAATGTGCTTGATTTACACCTTATAATAATGATCAATCAAATATTGATTCAAAATTTAAAGAAAGAGAAGGTGTTACTTGCAAACCAATAGACTAGCCATTATTGTATTTAGTTTGGTCACAATTCACTACACCAAAAACAAAATATAGAACGGTTACCAAAGATAGGCGTTCTCCAGAAGAATATAGAACGTATTTATATAAGAGGCGTTCTGTATGTAAATACATATGGAACGGTTAGCATAGTTAACCGTTCTCTATTTTTTTACTCTGAAATAATTTTAAAAAAATAATTAATTATTATAAATAATATAGAACGGTCATCTTGACAACTGTTTTATATTGTATTAATTAATTGTTTTTTTTTTAATTATTAGGAGGAAAAAATATACATAGTAATAATTTGCCCAAATTAATTAATTAAAGGCGGCTTAAAGGAATTGAAAGCGCACTCCTTAATATCACTTTCACGTTCTTTTGTCACTTTCACTTTACTAAACCTTAAAAAAAAATCAAAGTACTGCTTGTTTATTGCTTCAATTCGTGAAACCTCCACCGCTGTAATAATTAACCTTCAGCCGCTGACTCACCGCTCCACCGCCGCACCACCGATCGCCGCACAACTTCTGAGCACTGCACCACTCCGCTGAGGTAGGTTCGATTCTTCTTGTTATAGAGTAATTGAATTTTGATTATTTGTCAATTGAACTGCATGCATGAATCATTCAAAATGTGAAGGGAACATAATTAAATTCATAGTTTTCATCTATTTTATAGTTTTAGGGTTAAATTCAATCGACTGTTTGTATGCAAATAAATATTTCAGTTGAATTACAGTAAGTTCAATCAAATTACCCTTAATTTTGTCGAATTTATATTAATTTCAATAGTAATAAAAATAATTTTAGCTAAATTCATCTTACCTATGTTTTTGAGTGCGTGGGATACAATGTGTTGTTTTACAAGTCTATATAATTAGGTGATGATCTACTGCTGTCTTGTACTGGGGTAGGAGAGGTGATGTTGCTTCAGAATTCGGAATTGTATATCCTAATTGAAATTTGGTAAAATTTTAATTTGATGTTATGATTGCTAAGAAGGTTGAATGTCATTTTTGTGATAATTATGCCATTATTTTGCTATTGATTAGTTGCTGATTAGTGAATAGGGGTGGTTATTGGGCGGGTCGGTGCGGGTCGGTGCGGGTCATTAGCGGGGCGGGTCGGTTGCGGGTCATGATGAATATTTAGCGAGTCAGGGTCGGGTCAGGGTCAATGCGGGTCAGGGTCGAGGTTAAAGTAAAACGGGCCATTAACGGGCCATTAACTTCTACTAATCTTTAAATAGCATACTAATCTTTAAATGGTATACTAATCTTTAAATAGTATACTTGTGCTCAGACAAAGATATATGCAGGATCAAAGTCTCATAAAAATCTTTCACATCAAAATAAAACCAGAAGTAGAGCCTGTGTAGAGAAAACCAGCACGCCAAAATAAGTTCACCAAGAGTACTAACCCTGTTACATCAATTGTAATATACTAGTTTCTAGATTTACGAAATACTACTAGAATGGTCTAGTTCATTGCCAACATTTTAGCAAATGTTCTCAGATACCACAAAAGAATGAAGCAGCAGTAGGAATGAAACAAGCTCTTTGGCTCTGAGTGCTTCATGAACTCAGAACAGCCTCCAGCAACAGCAGCAGCTACAAAGCACCTCCCAGCCACACCAACACAAGCAACTACAGAACCAAAAAGCCAGCAGCACACAGAAACAAGACCTGCAGCCCCCAGCAGAAAAAAAAAAAAAAAACAGAAGTCAGACATAAGTTGCACCCAGCAAGAACAGAAATAGCGACTACCAAGCAAATCTTTACTACTTTAATGTAATGTGACTAAAAAACAGAACTATTAGTAGAGAAATGAACAAGAGAATATTACCTAGTAGAAAGGGTCTGCATCATCATCCTCTTCTTCTTCAATGATTTCATCTTCAAGTTCACTATCAACCTCTACTTGATTGCTTTCACGATGCCAATCTTGCATACATACTAAAGCTTGAATTGTTTTTGACTTTAATGAACTTCGCGATGCCGAAACAGTCTTTCCTCCAATACTAAAAGCAGACTCCGAAGCTACAGTACTTATAGGAATAGTCAACAAATCCCGTGCGCTTACTTTTTCCCACTCATCCTCTAAAGGAATATATGATTGAAATGAAGCATGACTAGATCTCAAGTGAAGAAAAACATCTTTGAAGTAAAGAGAAGTGCCAAGAATTTTATACGTGGAATTCCAACGAACATGCATATCAAGGTTCAATTTCCTTTTTACATCAAGGTGAAATATCTTCTCCGCACAATCATAGAATTCTTCACTTCTATGAGAAGATTTGATGATCAACTTTATAAATGAACGAATTTTATCCAAAATTCCACTAATACAAGTCAATCCTTTTTGCACAATAAGATTAATAATATGGGCACAACACCGCACATGAAACAATGTCTCACCACAACTTAACCCTCCTCTAGGAACAAGACGTCTCTTCAAACAAGATATCATTGCATCATTATAAGTTGCATTATCAACGGTGATAGAGAGTATCCTATCATCTAATTTCCATTGGCAAAGGAACATACAAATCTCATTAGCAATACTTATCCCATCATATGGAGGAGCTAAGGCCCTAAACCTAAGAATTTTTTTACGGAGTTTCCAAGAATCATCAACAAAGTGAGAAGTGACACAAATGAAATGTTGTCTAGTATGATTTGATTTCCAATTATCGGTTGTTAAACAAATTCTACCCGAAACATTAGACAAGAAATCTTTCAATTTATCCCTCTCCAATACATAAGCCTTCAATAAATCTCTCTTTGTGGTTGCACGACCAAATGGTTTAAACTTAGGGGTAGCTCTTTTCATCATTCTCCTAAATCCTTGTTCTTCAACCATAGTGAATGAATGACCTCCCTCAACAATGAAATTAAGAATCTCTTTTCGAAGTTCATTCATGTCAAAAACAAAATTTTCTTCATCACTATCTTCCTCAAATGTAAGTCCTAGAGGCCTATTTGCACACCTCTCTAAATGACACTTCAAATGAGATGTACCACTATCACGATTTGCAGATAAAATAGAATTACAATGTACACATGTAGCAATTCTCTCACCTTGAACATTCTTCCCTTCAATAAGCTCTCTCCAAACTTTAGACCTCTTCTTTCTCTTTCGTTGCGGAGTAATGTATTCATTATATCCATCATCACGTGCCGTAGAAGTAGTAGTAGTAGTAGTATCATCATCCATATTAATTGTTTTGCCCTGCCAGCACATTTAGGAGTTCGATCAGGAGAATAGCAAAATCCGAAAACAGAATCTTATATGGTCTGTTGTGCTTTGCTAAGGTAATAAAACAAATACTACTTGTACTACATAGTTAAATTTTATAAGTGTCCAGCCTCCAATTCAGTGTAGTAGTAGTAGTATCACAACTACACTAACCTTAACAGTCAACACACAAGTACCACATTTGCTTTCTCGTTCTATAATCATGCTAGTTTAGTCAATTCTTATACTACTATAATCAAATCAAGCAAAACTCCCAAATTATAATTAAATCATCAGCTTAGTCACATTATATTCATTCAAAGTACTACATATATTAGTAGATAATATGGGCTTTGTATGAATATATAGATGGATTAATAGTATACTTTATCAAGCCTTTATTGGTTTGATTTAATTCAAGTATTTTCAAATTGTAGCTAATATAGAAATGAAAACATTCAATGGCACAAGTGCAGAAAATATGTGACATGATTAGCACACAAAATTAAGGGTTATAATCATTCATCCATGAGTTCAGATCAAACACAATTATAATCAAGCAAAAAAAACTCCCAAATTATAATTAAAAACACCAAAATAAATCAGCATTAGCAACACCAAGAACAACAGACTCATAAGTAGCAAAATTACCCACAATCCTTTTATCACTCTCCAAGCTCAAGTAAGAAGCAAAATCACCCAGAAGAAAATCCAATTTGAATTGATTTTCGATCACATCATATAACCTAAACCGGATCTTCAATCAGATATTAAAATTGAATAACAGATTAAGAGAGAGAAAATGATGTTACCTGAGACTCTGAGTGCGCGGCTTCAATGGAGAACTCTGAGTGCGCTTCAATGGAGAACTCTGAGTGCGCTTTAATGGAGAACTATGAAGTTGCGCTTCAATGGAGAACTCTGAAGTTGCGCTTCAATGGAGAACTCTGAGTGCTTTAATGGAAAACTCTGAAGTTGCGCTTCAATGGAGAACTCTGAGTGGCTTCAATGGAGGAGAGAGAAAATGGAGGAGAGAGAAAATGGAAGAGAGGTAGTAGCTGACTGCTGACCCTTACAATTATTATTGGGCTCTTTAGTTTAATTATTAAATTATTGGGCTATAAAATAAAACCCTATAAAAACCCTATAAAATAAGACCCTATAAAAGCCCTGTCCATTAAAAAATTAAAGGGTCAAAACCCTTTAGTATTAGGCCCGACCCTTTTGCCATTGGGTAGCCCTACCCAATAACCAGGCCTATTAGTGAATATCATTTATTTAGAGTGAAGTAATTAGCTTAGTAGGGATGAAATTTATACCTCTGTGTCCTAGTTTGTCGATTTCGATGAAGTGCTGCCTGTTTAGTTTGATCCTTGATGTAATTTAAATTTTATGCTGATAACCCCCAAGCCTAATTATACTTGTGGTAGAGCTTTGGAATTGAGACTTGTCATATTGCAAATTGCAATGAGAAAGAAATTGCATAAAACTCGAAGAATTTAATAATATCGGTAGACAAATAAAGCAAGTGATTAAAGATAATCTATTAGAAGATGTTCCGTATTTTAGCTCATTAGTTGCCTACTGTCCAAGCTCCAATTCATTAGGATTTAGATGCCTTGGTAGTCCAAACTCTAAGAGTGTTCATTGTAATGTGGTTTTTGAAGATTATGATCACAATGCGGATAGTAAGTATTTGATCATCAAGGATTTCATTCCCTTCCTAACCTTTTTGTAAAGGGATTCGATAGTTTCCCTATTTCTCTGATCCTGGAAAACTATGAAAATAGAATGCTGACTTTTTCTCTTAGGCTTTTAATTGGTCTTTCTACAAGTGTTATTGAAGATTGTATATCTGATGTGAATGTCATCAATTTCCTGTCATAGAAAACTTTCCTAATTCATGTTCAAGATGGTAATCATTAGAAGTACATTGCAATAACAGTCAGAGTTTACAGCTATCTGCTGTGTCGACTAGTGATATTCAGAGGCCACCTGAGCTTTCTTTCAACAGGTTGCAGTCTTGTGACAAGGAGTGTGATGGATTACATAGGCATAAATTTGAAAGCTTTATACTGCTGTCTTGTACTGGGGTAGGAGAGGTGATGGTCTATGGTCTATATAATAAAAACTTGTATATGTATAAATACAATAGCTTAACAACTTTTGTAATTGATTTTGTAATCACTCTAATCCAACCAATTCAACTATTAGTTTGAAGGAATCTTTAACTTTCTTTAATTCCCGTACAAAATGAGAAATAGGCATGTAATAAAAGGACAGGGGGAGTAATAGACTTTTCACCATTTCTACCAAGTAACAAATTATATACATTAATTATGTGAAATATAATAATATATTTACTTTGACTTAATTTTTTAATTTATAATTAATTTTACATAATTTGTAAATAAATACATAAGTAATTTTCATATTATTACATTCATTTAACAAAGGTCGGGAGAGAAGACTATTTAATGTTTCGATGGACATTTCATATATTTTCATATCTATGATATTTTTGTTGTTCAAACCTAATTTTCTTTGAGATTTTTTTTCTCTTCAAATTTATTTAATTTTAGAGACAATCCTCAAACTCAGGATGCTTATAACATGCTAAAGTATTTCACCATTGAATTATACTCCAATATTATTAAAACACATGTAACTATTTTTTATATAGTCTGACTGTTTTGATGCCCCAATGGCAAATAGGCCCTGTGCAGAAGCTCAAGCTGCACATGTTAAGGGTCAGGCCTGGTTATTAATTCAATTACTACAACTAGCTACAAGCTAATTTGTACATACGAACTATAATATTTACCAAAAAGAGTTTATGTACAAAAATAACTCATTTTTTTGCAATTTAGAAATATAATGTGTATCCTGTACAAATGATAATAAAATTTACTTTTGAACAGACACCTGGATTCCTAAGAAACCATTGATACAAATTACTCATAATGTTCCACATAGTCTTTTGATAGAGAAAGTGTGTGCCTATTTCACTGAACACAAGCAATGGAATACTACTACATTAAACCAAATCCTCCCCCAAAATATAGTCAAACTGTAGGGAATAATCTCAAGCCTTTTAAAATCCCACTAGCTTGAACCCCACTGTGATCATACACTAAAGTACGGTGGCGTCCAAAAGGGAAGAAGATAGAGCAAAAGAGTCGCCAACAAGTTTTAGGAACTTGTAAACCGTTCATAGGATGAAAGTTACACCCCTTAACGATCCAAGAGATCGTCAACTCCATAAGGTCTAGAACCAAATAAGGGTTCGGGGATGAAGGTACAAATCCAACCTAAAAGAGATTGAACCTGCCCTAATAATAGGCCTCTACTTTATTCTGATCATATTCATGTGCGCTTTTTAATTAACATGCAATCATTAGGATTAACCCTAAATCTGTTTAATCTATGTTGGTTGAATATTAAATGCACAAATAAATCTATTATTGGCGATCACTTGAAATATAATCACATTAACCCTAACAAGATTATTTATTATCTTATTAAGCGTAATTACAAGTACTAATTCCCTTTAACATGCATAGAAGGTGTGATCAAGCAATAAAAATAAATATCAAGCAACATAATTATAATCAATATCATGAATAATAAAATTATAATCATAACAATAATAATCATAAATAAAATAATCATCATCAAAATAATAATAATATTCATAATCATCATAACAATTATAATCATAATCATGTTCATGTTAATATTAAAGCATAATAAAAATAACAAGATTAATAACAAACCCTAGCATGTCACTAAGCAATAAAAATCAAATCTTTAACCTTAACATGATACTAACAATCATAAATATTAGGAAGAATATAGAAAGCCTCGTAGGAATCATATTTAATATTAAAATTACCCTAGACATGATACTAGGAATATCATAATAACAACGTAAACATGATTTCTACATCATAATATCAATTAAAACCTTTAAAGCACTTACTTTGATGCCTCGTATCTCTTTCTAATTACAAAATACACACGTTATTAACTTCAAGGAAAATAATAATCAAAACAATTAAATTAAATAATTGAAATAGAGATTTGGGTTGGGACCAAACCTCAGAAATTAAACCTTTCACGTCTAGGGCGAAGGCAACTTCGAATATGGTTAGGTGTTTCTAAGTCTTGCGAATGCGGAATTTTGTATTTGAGAAAAGGCTAGTTTGGAAAAAGAGAGAGAGAGATAAAGAATAATCTAAGAAAATCTTGATGAGAGTTGGTGAATGATTAAGAGAGAATTAGAGAATTAATGATTGCGAATGAAAACTGATTGTAGGTGAATGAAAACGGAGTTTTTAATACGTTATTTATAGAGAAAATCATCCAAAAGATAAAATATCAAAACAGAGCACTTGGCGCACATAAAACGAGATTGGCGCACCTAAAACAGAGCTGGCACCAGCACCAGCTTATTGGCGGCAGACGCCAATGGCTAGCACCAGGCGCTAGGCACTGATTTCAGAAATTCACGCGTTTTTGTTTTCATCATATCTTTTGATCCGGAAGTCCAAATAAGACATATAATATGTCGTTGGAAAGCTCTTAAAGTCTACTTTCCAACCCAATTAGAATCAGGTTAAAAAATTTTGTAGATAAAAAGATATGGCCAAAATAGTGGAAGGGTGTCAGTTTTGGATAAAGTTTCATGTCTCATTCATATCTTTTTCGTTATAACTCGGATTTAATATTATAATATATCATTGGAAAGATAATTTCAAGATCTATCCAACCATATAAAATTTGGATAAATATTATGAGGCACGAAAATAAAATCTGAATATATTCCACTTCGTACAAAACAAGGATTCTTAAAAGGAGTAGTTTTATTCAATTTCAAACTCTTTAAAACATAATTATTAATCCTAACTCCATTAGGATTTAAAAGAACCTTCTAGAGTATTCTAAAAGACTATAATCAATCCTAATAGCTTTAGGAATGATAATTAATAATAGACTCTCCTCTAGATCATTGGGCCGCATATAAAAACCAAATCGGGTCCAGTTTAGTATTTTGGCCATAACTTCCTCGATATTCATCGGAATTGGGCTTATAATATATCGTTGGAAAGGTCTTTTCAAACTCCATCCAACTACATTATTATTGGACCCATATCATGGACCAACCAAACTGGATTGTCTGTTTTCTTAAAATAAGTTTTCAAAAACAGAGAGAAGAGAAAAGAAATTAAAAACTTTTCGCAACACTAGACTTTCCACACTTTCGCTTTATTCGATTATGATTCGACGTGAAAGGTACTCATCACTGGGTTTGGTTTTGGGGAGACACAAATGGGTGTCTACACAAACGCATTTGCAACAACATTTATATCCCTTTTAACAATCAAGAAGATAAAGTATTATGGGGATACACTTCTAGTTGATAGTTCTTAATTATGACCCATCATTAAATGCAAAAGTTTCATACGAATGGATATGGAAAACTAATCTCCCTCCAAATATTAAAAAAAAAACTTTATTTGGAAAATTTACAATGATGGAGTTCCTACAAGAGAGATTATTTAGAAGCAATGTCACCGTTCCTCTTCATTGTCAATTCTGTAATCATCACACAGAAAATGTAGACCATCTTTTATTTAAATGTGCGTTTTTAGAAGACATCTTCATTCTTCAGCTACCTTACCAAGATAGGCAAATGGACTAACCCGTTTAAATATATGGGACATCATTTATCAATTCTATTCAAATATTAGAGCAGAAAACCCATTAGAGATGACACAAAATATTTTTATAGCATGGTGGTTTATTTGGTACATTAGAAATTCAGTAATTTTTAGAAATGAATCTTTCAATGTTGTACAAAGCTGCATTCTAATCAAGAACTTCACTAATGATTGGTTCAACTATCAAAATATTGAAATATGCCATGAAGACAACCCCATAGATCTTCTAAGTCCCGGGCAAATAAAAATTGCCAAAATACAACTCAAAGAGCTTGGTTTCCCCCTCCAAGAAATTTCCACAGGTTAAATTTTGATGGCTCAAAAATAGGCGAAAATAGCTCTACTTTTGGCTTTGTAATTAGAAATCATACTCCCTTTGTGTTTTTTTTAAGTGTTACATTTACCAAATTCGGCCGTATTTTAATAAGTATTACACTTTCTTTTATGCAAAAAGCTACATTAAAATATTATATCTCTCTCCTCTCGTGATCCCCACTTAAACCCACGTACTATTACTTTTTTATTATATATCTCCTTTCACATTCATTACATTTCAATAAACTATTAACCCCACTATCTTTCTTTTTCAATTTTTTATACTCGAACTACCCCACTTACCTCTTATTTTATTTAAGTCAATTAAATTTCCTAAAACTATATGCCGGTCAAAGTGTAACACTTAAAAACACACGGAGGGAGTAATGAAAATCTTATTCTTGCAGGGGCAAAGGCTCTTCGCCCCGACACTTCAATTTTCCAAGCGCGTGGAAGCAATGGGCCTAAGAGAAGGCTTAGAGGGAGCTAAATTCCTAGACATTCGTAATCTGATTATAGAAGTCGATAATCTGGTAGTCATAAACGTCATCAAGAGGACATGAAAAATTCCATGGGAGATTTACAATATCATATGTGACACGGAGGCCAGGTAGCTTTGAACTCACTTTATTCTCTCTCCATTCATCATTGTTGCAAAAGAGGAATATGGCGGCAGACTACATGACAAAGAAGGGGCACCACCATGAAAATTTAATTTGGTCCTTTAATAATTTTGCGCCTTCCCTCTCCCTTATCATCCAAAAGGATGTTTTAGGTATCCCCAATCAAATGGGCTAACTTAGCTTTATTTTCTCACTCCATAAAAAAAAATGTATATCCTGTACTTTTTACAAAGAAAACGAGCCACAATTGTTTGGAATAAATTAGTTAAAATTAAAAACGTGCATCATTTAGTCATATAATGGCAAATTTTCCAAAATAATACACAGTCAACCATATATCAATCTTTTTGTGGAATTCTTATAACACATACACACTTGTACTCTTCACCAACTCTTCTAAATTAACTTGCCTAATCTTTGCTTCTTATAGAATTCCATCATCATGTATTCTACAAAGGGCTGCTCTAACAAACTAAGACTAATAATAAAGACTTTGAAAAAACTAAGGAAATAAATAGGCAACTTCTTTGATTTCTTACCAAATTCTATTTTCCTTAGTCTCTCTCAACCATTATAAATACCAACACAAATTCTCATTATTTTGCATTATCCATTTTTCTCTCATCATATCATCTGTTCTTCACTAGCTTGTATAGTTTTGTTTGTTTTCTTACAAAAACGTAAACGATAATCATGGGTGTCATAACATGCACGTTAGCTGAATTTGATAGCGTTGTCGCCCCGAACCGGTTGTTCCAAGCTATGTCCATTGACAGCCACAACTTCTTGCCAAAGGTTGTGCCTCACTTTGTTAAATCTGTCGAGTTTGTTGAAGGCGACTCTACTACTGTTGGTTGCGTCAAAAATATCAACTTCCCTGATGGTTAGTTTATCTTAGCTTATTACCGTCCTTTTTTATTTGCTCCATTTTTCTTGTTAAGTTGTGTCCATTTTGAGTTCGTCATGTCATAAATGTTCATAAGAATTTACTATTTACTTGATCTCTGTCTCACTTAGTCAAATACAATGCGTTTAGTCCCATAATTAATTCTCTTTTAAAAATTCAACTCAACCAAATTAAAACTTAATATATTGTAGTTTTATTTTATTTTTTTTAAAAAAAACTAAATATAATTACTCCTTCCGTCCCTAAATTACATTCCTCTTTCTCATATAATGTGAGAAAGAGAAATGTAATTTAGGGACGGAAGGAGTAACATACTTTTATGAGGCTTCCTTCAAAAAAAAATAAAAAAAAATAAAAATAAAAATAAAAAAACATACTTTTATGAGGCAAAACGGCAAACATATGCTTTAGGTCTTCACAACTTCATCACCTAGCTTAGATTGTATGGTATTTTGTATATAATTATTTTCCCAACCAATAATTTGAATTTCTTATTAAAACTTTATTCTAATTTATAAATTTTAGATAATTATCGTTTCAAATAACACAAAATTGTACTTCATAATGATCATCTTAGTTGCTCCTTACGCCAGTGGCGGATCCAGAATTTTCGAACTTATGAGTCACCATCAATAATTGATAACTTGTTTCAATCCAAAAATTATATAAAAAAAATTATATTTCACTAAAATGATTTCAATCCAAAAATAGGATATAAAAATACATACTATAAAACTATTACATTAAACGAACTTTATGATTTTTTTACTTAAAAATAATAATTATTACAAAAAAAGATAGATAACTTAAGAGACCTGTTATTAATTATAACAGGTCTCTTTAATGAAATATGAAAGAAGCGCACAAAATTATTCTAATTCAATGGCTGACAAAAATAGACCTGTCATCTAGGTAACAGGTCTCTAATGACGTGGTGGCGATAGCAGCAACAAAGAGACCACCTATCTGATATTTTAATAGGTAGTTTCTTTTATATTTAAAAAACTGACAGTGGGCTAGTCTCAAATAGAAGCAACAAAGAGACCTCCTATCTGTATTAGGCGGTCTCTTAGTTTTTTTTTTTTTTTTTTTTTTGTGCTGGTGAGTCACGTGACTCACTGTGCACCTTAATAGATCCGCCCCTGCCTTACGCGATAATGTCTATTAAAATAACCATATAAATAAGGGTCATTGTGAAATGGATAATTAAATAGTATATATGTTAAATTAAATGATCATGAGATTATAATTATAACCATGTTGACAAAATTTATGATGATCAATTATATATGCAGAGGCTCCATACAGATATGTGAAAACTAGAGTAGACGAAATCGATTGTACTAACTTCTACCTAAAGTATACAAGCATTGAAGGAGATATATTTCCCGATACATTAGAATGTGCCGTGTATGAGAACAAATACGACGCTTCGAGCACCGGAACACACTACAAGATGGTAGCACACTACCATATGAAGGGAGACAATGTTATGGATGATGAAGAAATTGAAAGTGCCAAACAAGGGATTCAAATGATGTTTAAGGCTATTGAAGACCATCTCATTGCCAACCCTCAAGTTTATGCTTGAATTTAATCATAATTATATATTCAAGTTTTTTAATGGTTACAAAAATATGCTACGTAGTACGTACCATTAATTAAAAATGAAATTATGTACTACGTAGTATGATGTGGTGCACGTCTTTGTTTAGTTTCTTTGTTTAATATTTAATTTTTGGGTTTGAAAAAATAATGACATTTAATTGGTGAACTGAGATACGATGTTGTATGAGATGCTACGTGTCTATGTTTCATACGAATTGAAGTATACAATTGTAAAATATATGTAGTTGGTCATCATTTCAATCATATTGTAGAGAAAGTGTGTGGAGTAACTAAACTAGTCAAAGCGATATAATTTATTATATTTAATTTCTGTCAATTTATTATATTTAATTTCTGTCATTTTTGTTAATTTCTGTAAATAAAAAAATTTACAAGAGTACAAGTCAAGGTAAAACAAAGTGGAACGCAACTATATCAAGAAAGGGTGAATTAGTACTCCTTGATATAGTTGCGCTCTTCTATATGTGTATTTTCATTACATTGGCTATATTCTATATGTATGATCAAATATGTATATGAGTGACTGCAAATTGTAATAAAATTCTACCGGAGAATTAAATAGATCCCAAGATAGACATGCAAATTAAAAAGAGAGATTTATAGATAAGCAAAAGAATATGGAGTTTCATAATGTTTTGTAGATAACTAGATAAGTAAAAGAGAAACTTACAATAAAAATGAAATTCTCCTAGAGAATTAAATAGATCATCGTTTTAGCCATCCTTGAGAATTAAATAGATTATCGTTTTAGCCATCCTTGTTCTACATGAGCACGAAGACAACGAAGAGAAGTATATGCAACTAATGTCGTGAATGCAGTGTTAGGACTAGTTCTCTTCGGTTTAATTTCAATTCAGTTCAGTTCAATTCCTAATTTCCTTCTCTCGTAAATAATTCAATTCAGTTCAATTTAATTCTGTAAATCAGAACATGCCCTTAGTCACTTAAATAAGTGTTCTATTATGCTAAGTGAAAACAGAAAATGACAAAAGCATAAGAAATTTTTTCAATATATATAGGTGTTACACTCTAGGCTAAATTAAATGGCCACGAATCCACGATTGATGATTGTTTATGATTTTTGTAATTTGTATATCAATGTTGCGCGAAATTACCAAACTGCTTAAAGAATCTTTTGTGTAAAAAAAAATGATACCAAGTTGTTAATTAATATAGAATTTGTTTTGTACTTTGTCTCTCCTTTTAGTTTTGGTATGCTACTTGGAATCTTCAATTTGAAGTGAGTGAAACATAAATTTACGAACATTTTTTGATAAACATACCAAGAAAAAACATTTTTTGATAAATTATATATATTGTGTTTTGAAAGATTTGTCTTATTGTGTAGTTTCAAAATATTCATATTCTTATTATTTTTTAATAATACATAGTTGAAAATCTAAAACCCTTTTAATAAACATGCGAACTTCTGCTACTGTTTCTTATGAACAGTGTCTGCTAATGAATAGTGCCCTTCCTCTTTTGCCATTGGATTTATGTTCAGCTTTGGGCTCTGTTGGGCTGTTATTGTGGCCTTTTTATTTTTGATGGGCTGTTTTGTTGATGGGTTCTATTTCACCTCCTCTTTGGGTTTTTTGAGATCAATAAGTTATTTATTTACGATTGTCTTGAAGATGGTGTCTGTTAATCAAGTCAAGGATCAAGAAGCAATGAGGTGAGCATCGGTTTTTTTGTTCCAATTATTATTAAAAACTAATATTGATTTATCTAAAACTCTTTTAATTTTAAAATCAAATGCTATATATTGTATAAATGCTTCATTTTTTTTTATTAAAAACTAATATTGATTTATCTAAAACCCTTTTAATTTTTAAAATCAAATGCTATATATTATATAAATGCTTCGTTTGTTTTTTTTAAAAAAATATAAATAAATCCCTCTATTAATATCGCTTGTTTTTTTTCATATAAATAAATCCCTCTATTAATTATTGCTTAATACATATATATTATATATTAATGGAGTTCGTTTCTAATTTAGGTGTGCGACCTCATTGTGGCGGTTCAATTAAGTATTTTGTCATACATGCATTATGGCGCTTAGATCGGTATTTTTCATACTGTTTAAATTAATTGTATAAATTGGCTATTAGAGTGTTTTTAAAAACATTCCGAAAATTGTAATTTAACTGGTTTTGTTACATTAGTTAATGAATATCTACTTTCTGGCAAATGTTCGTATTATAGAGATATTTATTGATAAATTGTAATTTAGCTGTGGAATATGTATATATATATACATGTGGATAGTTATTTCTGGGTAAAATTTACAGCTGTAATGAATTGGGGAGTAATTTATTTTACTGTTTATGGGTTGACTAAAGTTTCACTTTTATCATGGGGGTTTCTGGTGTTTTGTACTTGTGATTGCTTGGAGTGTAAGGTTTGTAATCTAAAATTGATTTTCTGTCCTTATTCCTGTACTATCAAATCAATATATTATATTGTTTTTGTACTTCAGAGTAGTAGAGTAAATATTTTTGAAAAAAACTAATCAATGGGCTGACTTTTAACATATATATATATATAGCGATTGAGTACATTAGTTTTGCATCTGGTTAGGTTTACTTTTCTGTCTCCAAAGGTCAGTGGTTTTTGGTTAGTATATTACACTCTTTCTCTGTTCTTTGATTTACTTGTGGATTACAGTAAAATAAATTACACCCCAATTCATTACAGTAATTGTTCCCCTGCATATTATCCCTTGAACACTAATTGTTCACAGTGGGTTGCAGGTTTATTGTCCTCTGGATATAGGGGTGTTGGTTGAATTCTTTTCAAGGTGCTGCTTCTGTTTGAGGTTTTACAATTTGGTGAGTTCAAGAGCTCTGCAAGTTATATATTACAGAGTTTTGCATGTATTTTTTTGTGTACTGGTATTACTGGTTATGTTAATGTATAGGATTTATTTGCTAGAGTAATTTTACTTATTGGTCTTGGTGGTATAGTATGTATGATATATATATGTGTGGAATGTATTTGCTAGAATAGGTGTACTTATTGGTTTCTGGTAGTATAGTATATGATATATGATATATATGTGAAATTGGTTCGTCTTTGTTGTTGTTGATTGTTATTGATATAATTATAGGCTATAGTATATAGTATAATAACATTCATTAATTAAGTATGTATGTTAATGGTAATCAATTAATCAATTATACATAGGAGTTAAGTAAACCTTGTTATTATAAGCTTCTTTTTAGGTCTCTTATTATGGAATTTGAGTTATTGTAGCCTACATTTATTGGTACACATGTATGGTAATCACTTGTGTTGCCTTGTAAGATCTGTTGAACGTTAGAAATGTCATCGTTTTAGGTTATGGCTTCGTCTTCTGGTGAAAAGATTTGTATCCTTTTCTGCCCATTATTGATTCAGATCACTGACTGTCTTGATTTTCCTAAGCCTACATATTCTGTGACTAATGTTGCTGGCAAGTTTAGGTCAACTGTATATATAAGGACCGAGGGTGAACGTGGCATCTTTTGGTTTAATGGTGAAGAGGCACTAAGTGCTGATGAGTCTAAAGAATTTGCAGCTCAAAGAGCAATAAATTTCTTAATTAGGAAATATAGTGTTTGTGTTGGTGATTTCACTATGGATAGGATTCGTATTTATGAATTCTGTGAGAAGCTATATAGATTGAAGCGGATTTCCATGGAATCTGGTGATAGATCAAAGTTGTGTGGTAGTAAGGTGTATGGTGGAGTTGTACATGTTTCACTTGATTATGTGGGATTTATGCCTAGAGTTATTAAAAAGACAGGAGTTCAGATTACAAGTATAGAAACAGCGTATTATGCTGATCAGGGGTATATGTCTTGGCTTACAGTCACATGTCTACATAGTAAGACTGGTATGGAGTGTTTTTTTAGTGAACTGTGTGGTGATAGTACTAAGGCCTAACAGATGGCTGCGAAAAAAGCAATATATTATATTATGCATCAGTATAATTTGGACATCGTGGATGCAAATTATGGAGGTGCAAATTTGAAAGGTGTATTTTGTGCTTTAGAGAGGGAGAGTTGCTTATCTCTTGAAGAACGGAAGAAAGGACAAAAGGATACTGCGAGGCTTATGCCTTTCTTAGTTGAAGAAGTTAATGTAAGTCCATCTAGCGAGAGTTCAGAAGATGTGATCATTGTTGCTGCTCCGAGTACCCCTGCTAAATTAGTGCCTAAGCGCCCGGTGGGAACACCATGTACTCTAGAATTTGTAGGAAAGAATCCATCTGCAAAACGTGTTAGGTTCAGTTAATTGTATCTGTCTATGGGTGCTTGTTATTATTACTATGCCCATTTATTTTGTAAGCTTATTAAAATTTCATGTAAGATATAGATGCAAGCTGATGTAAGACAGCATTCAGAATGTTAGTATTTTAAAATTATGTTATGGAATTCAGTTTTGTAATTTTACTTATTCAAATTTCATAGTACTATGAAAATGGTATTATTTGTTATGCTTTACTGCCCTTTTGATTCATGTCTTGTTTTTTTTACAATGTGGTCGATATATATATTCCAGTGTTCTTATACTTCAATTATTATTATATTATATTGTTGTAACTGATAGTATATGGTCAATAGATTCATTTGAAAATGCTCCCACAAGCTCCACCTAATATAATTAGGCGAAGGCGTGGAATACAGGCTATGCCTCAAACTGCACTTCTGAGGTAACTATAATCTGTACTTTGTGCAAGTGCAGTTCGTTGTGGTTTAAGTTGTTTATTCAGTAAGCAGCTGGGTGTATTGACAATTTTGTGTATTTGTATGGTGACAGGGGAAGAGGACGTACGCCTGCTAGAGTGCCTCGACAGTTGGGTGCTGGACACCTGGTTGATAATAATGACAGTGGTATATTTTTCCTTTTGTGTTATTGATAATAAGTGTAAATGTAGATTATGTATGCTAAAGATATCAATGTCGTATGATCATAAATTTAGGTTTAGAATTGCTACACACAAGGAGGACTATGCTCAATGTTCCTTAATGAAAAGTCTTTTGACTTTTGATAGTTAAATTGTTGTGTCATGTGTGTTGTAAAATGAGGATGAGAACATAAAGTCACTGTGAAAATTAATTTATGTAGCCATTATTTGTAGACGTGGTTTACTGTATTTTGTATTTTGAATTATGTAGTTTAGTATTTTGTAGTGATTATCGAATCATAGTACGTTTCACATAATGTTGGTCATCTGTTACAGGTTAGTCACCAGTGTCTACTGGATGTAACTTCATATGTGATGCATCTATTATGCCACGGAGTGGTCAACGCAGAAGTAAAAGAATGAGGACTACTGAGGCCATGTCACAATCACATGTTTTGAGGTTAGTCCATAATGAAACATTTTCTTAATTAATATTGTACTTATGCATTTTTGTTGATTGCATTACTCATAGTTATGCTGTTGTTTACATGTGTATGCTATATATATGTTGATAAATCATCATCAGAATGCCCGAGCAATCACATAGGCAAAACTGTAAAAAGAACACTGGTAAACTTTAGTTTAATTGAAGTGATTTACATGGATAGAATTTATAATAATGCACAATTTCTGCCTATATACTACCTAAGAAATAATAGTTAATGTAGTTGTACCAGCAGCAACTATTGGCTTGGAACTGCTTGCGTGCTCTATTCAGCTTCCTGCTCCGCATTATTGTCACAAATGCTATGCGAAAAAGTTTGCATATGAGAGCTTACATTTTTGTTGTGGCGATGGTGAAATTGAGGTAGCTACAAATGAATATCCTACTGAGTTACGAAGACTTTTTATGAGTGATGATGAAGATGCTATACATATTAAGAAGTATGCTCGCCTATACAACAATCTCTTTGCTTTTATTTCACTGGGAGGAAAAACATATGTTGTGTCTTATAAAGGAATCTATGTATTTAAGGCACACGGTCAGATGTATCATTCTTTGCCAGATTTAATTCCTGCTGATGGAAAACCAAAATACCTGCAGCTGTACTTTTATGATGGAATGCATGAAGCTAATAACCGCACAAAAAGTTTTCCAGAGATAAGGGATGATTTGATATCTATCCTAATGGCAGTTAGCAAGGATAATCCATATGCTAGGTTTTTCAGATCTCTACGAGAGATTCCTATAGATGAAACAACTACGATTGCTCTGAACAAGAACACGGTACTTGATCAGAGAATTTATAACGCTCCCTCTGTTGATGAAGTTGCTGGAATATTGCCAGAAAGTTCTATTTCCAGTGAAAATTGTAGTCCTCATGTTATAGTTCAAGGGAAGCTTACAAAGTCATACCGAATTCAGCACTATTATGGCTGCTATGATCCATTACAGTACCCACTTCTATTTCCAAAAGGTGAATGTGGATGGACACAAGGGCTTAAGAAAAAAAACATGGGGTGGTCGTCATCAAGCAGCCACACAAGTAGACCCAGTGATGTCTTGTGCTGTTCATACTGCTGATGAACTCCTTGGTGAAGAAGGAACTCGTAAGTTTCTCTGAATGCTATGTATTTTAAAATGTATGTATTTAATTTTACAGAAGCAATCTTTTGTGATATATCTAAATCATTTATGTATTGATAGGTTCTGAAAGGAAAAACACAAAGGCAGATAAATATGTGTCTGCAAGAGAGTATTATGCTTATAAATTGCAAATTAGGCCAAATAATTTGCTTCTTCGGGCTGGTAGATGCTTTCAACAGTACATTGTTGACATGTATGTGAAAATAGAGAACTCGCGGCTTGATTATTTTCGGAATCATCAGGATACTATCAGAGCTGATCTATATCAAGGTGTACTGGATTCTCTATATTGTGGTGAGACGTTAGCAGCAAATGTTGGTCGAAGAGTTATTTTACCTCCTACATATATTGGTGGGCCACGAGATATGAAACGTCGCTATTATAATGCAATGGCTTTGGTGCAGAAATATGGGAAGCCTGATCTCTTTGTGACCATGACATGTAATAGTAATTGGCCAGAAATTAAAGTTGCCTTAAGTGGTCGGGAGCAGGCACAGGATCATCCTGATTTAGTAGCCCGCATCTTTCGTGCTAAGTTGATAGCCTTGAAAAAATAAATCATGGAGAATAAGTGCTTTGGAGAAGTTGCAGCTATGATTTATGTAGTTGAATTCCAAAAGTGTGGTCTCCCACATGCTCATTTTCTGGTAATTTTAAAGCCAGAATTCAAGATGAAATGTATTGAAGACTATGACAAGTTTGTATCTTCATAGATACCTCCTCTTTCATCTGTTGCTCTGTGAAAGATTGTGCTTCGTCATATGATGCATGGCCCATGTGGGAATTTAAATCCAAAATGTTCATGCATGCGAAAATCTGGAATGCAAGTATCTTGCAAATCTAGGTTTCCTAGAAAATTTTGTGATGACACTTGTGTAAACAAAGATGGCTATCCTTTATATAGGAGGAGGAATACCGGTGAAACTGTAAATATACGGGGTGCTGAGCTTGATAATCGGTGGGTCATACCATACAATCCATATTTATCGATGTTGTTCGATTGTCATATTAATGTTGAGGTCTGCTCAACTATTAAAGCAGTCAAGTATTTATATAAATATGTATACAAGGGTCATGATCGCATTCAATATAATATTACCTCTAAACAAGAGAATGTGATGGATGAAATTGAAGAATACCAATCTGGGAGATGGATATCTCCATGTGAAGCTGCATGGAGGATTTTCGGTTTTGATTTGTTTGAAATGCATCCACCAGTGTTCCTCTTGCCAGTACATTTGCCAAATATGCAGAGCATTTCTCTTAGGCCACATGAACGACTTAGATCTGTTGTTGCAGATGATAAACGCAGCAGGACTCCATTGACTGAGTTCTTTGCAGTTAATGTTGTTGTTCCAGGTATTACATATTATAAGCATTGTATACCAATATTGATAGTTAACTAATTTATATTTAGATTATGCATTTCCTGTTAAGCTATCAGTGATGTGTGCCCATTTTTTATTAGTCACATTTTCCTTTGGTTTCTTGTTAGGTTACTTAGTATGGTCGAGTTTTCATTTGGATGTAAATGTTCTACTAGACGTATCATATTTTATTAAGTGAACGGTAAAAGTGCACTCCTAATATGTTACACTGGAATTGTACTGCTATTAATTTATAAGTCCTTATGACAAGCATGCCATTCTATCTTCTTAATTCATCATTATTGTGTTGTGGCTGTAGTTTACTTTTCTGTAATGCAGTTTTGATTATGGATCATGTAGAAAGTGTGATAGAGTTAACAGGTTTTTATATTGCCTCATAGATATTCATTGAATGTCCTGTTCAATTTAGGATTTTGAGGTATTTGTATTTCCTTTCTCTTCACTATTTCTATGATGTAAAGTATTTAAGATTATTAGTTACATGTAGTGTTCCATTCATTGTGTTTTCCTATTCCATGCTTCAGCCCTTTTGAACTCTCTTTCTTTTTATCTTTACCGCCCTTGGTATTTGATTATCCCTAAATAGCATTTTTCCCTCAAGACTACATTATCAGTTTGTTTTACCAGTTCATGCTACACTTTATACCGTTCTCTGGAATCAGAATAACCCTAAAGACTAAACAAATCTGAAGGCCAAGAGTTTGGATATTTAGAACTGTGTAATACTTACAGTCATTCTGATTCCAGAGAACAATGTAAAGAGTGGAATAAAGGAGCAAAAGAAGCAGATAGTGTTGCTTAGAAAAGAAATGGTATTTAGGGAAAATTATATGGCAAGGCTGGTAAGAGTAAAAGGCTAAGGGGATTCAAATGATTTGGATTATGGAAAAGAAATAGTACAACATTGGAAACCGAGTAATGTTTAGATCCTGTCTATAAATGTGAATTTATGCATACATATATTCTTTAGAAATTTTTGTGCAGAAGCAAAATAAAGGCTGTATAGATGCATATACCTAAGCAAAGGGGATTGAAATGATTTCGGTTATGGAGAAGAGATAGTACAGCATTGGAAACCCAAAACAATTCAGATTATGCTTATAAATGTGGACTGATATAGAGAGAAACATATGCATATATATATTGTTCTGAAGTTTGTGTCCAGAAACAGAACATAGGTTCTATATATGCATATCCATGTATTTCTGTCAAACAGTAATTAGCTATATGCTGACCATTAGGAACTTGGTAATGGCAGAATTTATATAAGGTAAATAATTGGGAAGATACTTTTGTAAATCTAGGGATTAAAATGTCATTGTATGTAAAGTAGGGATTGAAAAAAAAAACATTAGGAATTGCTGTAGTATTATAATAATCCTAAAATAAATCTTAAAATTGGTTCCCATTTAGACATTCTCCATTACTACAGTTTTATATGCTTTGATTTAGATTTATAGCCTGACTTTTTGTTTATTCTTACTAATTTAGAAATCAGAATATAGCATGTGCTACTATTATCAAAATTATGAATAAAGAATTTGATTTGGATTGTCACAATACCATATATAATAATCTCCCATATTCTTTCACATGATGTATTGCCTTAGGATTAGTGATAGATAAAAGGTTGATTCCAGAAAATACTTGCCATAAGTGCATTGTCAGGTGAGGCTGCAGGACATTTGATATATAGTGTGTAGAATGGTTATCGTTAATATGTCTATAGTTTATTTATTTATTGTGCAACAATTAGGCAGTACTCAGTTATTGTTTTTGATAGGAGGTACTGGATATTTATATTCTGAATTCTATGAGCGTTATCGGTGGCATCCTTCTTCTAAAGAATGGTGTGAACGAAAGACAAAAAAGATTGTGGTTGGCAGACTAGCATTTGCGTATCCAGGCGAAGGAGAACGCTTCTTTCTTAGATTACTCTTGATCAATGTTCGGAGTCCAACATCTTTTGAGGACCTACGAACTGTTAATAGCCATGTATATGCAACATTCCAAGAAGCTGCTTTGAAGTTGGGATTGCTTGAAGATGATGACATTGGTGATTTGTGTATGTCAGAGGCAAAAGACAGTCAATTGCCTGTTGCTTTGCGATGTTTATTTGCAACTATTCTGATATTTTGCCAACCAAAGGATCCATTTGCATTGTGGTGTAAATACTCGGGTGATTTATCTGAAGACTTTCAGCATCAGTACCCAGGCCAGGTTGAAAGAGCCAAATGATGCACTATACGATCACTTGAACAGTTTCTTGAGGCTATGGGAAAATCACTAAAGACTGTAGGATTAGCTGCATTGTACTCGGGTGAAGAGGATGAATTTCAGCGGACTAAAGATATTATTGGTGCTTTAGATGCGCCTATTCCTCAATCATGTATTGATTGCATACTTAAACTTAATTCCGCACAGTTGAATGCTTTCACCTGTATAATGGAACATGTGCGATCAGGTACATCTGGAGCTTTTTCCATAGATGGCCCTGGTGGTACCGGGAAAACTTTCCTGTACAATGCTCTGTATGCACAAATTAGATTGATGAATAAAATAGTGTTGCCAACAGCCACTTCAAGGATTACTGCAGCTAATATTCCTTCTGGTAGAACTGCCCATTCAAGGTTTAAAATACCGATTGATGTAGAAAGTTCATTGGTATGTGATGTTCCAAAACATGGTAGTCTAGCAGCTCTTTTGAAAGAAACAACATTGATTATATGGGATGAAGCTTCTATGGCAAATAAAAGCAACCTAGAGTCTTTAGATTTGTTGCTGCAAGATGTCTGTGGGAATAACAAATTATTTGGTGGAAAATTGGTAGTTCTCGGAGGCGACTTTCGCCAAGTATTACCGGTTGTTCCTTTAAAGAATCAAAAAGAAGTTGTACAGGCTAGCATAGTCACTTCATATATATGGCCTCAGCTTACAAAATTCAGCCTAACAGAAAACCAAAGAGCAAAAGAAGATCCAGAATTTTCCTCTTTTTTACTTGCACTTGGAAATGGCAAGCTCCAAAGGTCTTAAAATGCATATGTAGAACTGCCTGCAAATATAGCATGCCCTTTTACAGCCAGCGATAATCCTATCTCCCAAGTAACAAAAGCAGTCTTTCCAGATTTTAACACTGTTAAAGTTGATAGCAATTTGTTTACAGAAAGGGCTATTCTAACCCCTTTGAATGATAATGTTGATTGTATCAATAGTTCTTTGATAAATCAATTTCCTGGTGAACCTGTGGTGTATAAAAGTTTTGATGTCATGTTAAGTGATACATGTGATGTGTATCCAACGGAGTTTTTGAATAAACTTTGTCCAGGTGGATTGAGTCCTCATGAACTTGTACTTAAGAAAAATTGTCCAGTTATTTTGCTGCGGAATTTACTTCCATATGCTGGACTGTATAATGGGACACGCCTTATATGCAAAGGATTTTTCCCAAACGTAGTTCATTGTATAATTGTTGTGGGACAGTATCAAGGCAGTCATGTTTTCATACCGCGTATCAATTTGCGACCTTCTGCTTCTGTTAGATATCCATTTCAATTTGAGCGAAAACAATTTCCTTTGAAATTAAGTTTCGCTATGACAATAAATAAATCACAAGGGAAGACACTAAACAAGGTGTCTGTGTACTTACCTCGGCCCTGTTTCTCACATGGACAGTTATATGTTGCCCTTTCGCGAGCAAAAAAAAAGGAAGATGTTACAGTCTTTTCAGCATTGCCTCCACAGCCATTTGCTTCAACATGTACTAAAAATGTAGTGTATTATGAAGTTCTACGTTTATCAGGAATCTGTTAGCACATTAACATCAGAAATACTATATATAATACGGACTATGATTTCCTATCAAATAATGTGCTTCCTATTCATTTAATTTTGTATGAAAACTGATAAATATGCATTTATACTCAATACACCTGCACTTATACTATCAGTCTTTTACGAAGATTGTTTAGTATTGCAGATCAGTTATATAGCACAGAAGATAGCTTAATAATATAAGTACAATATATTTATTTTTGAAAAGAAAACAAAAAAACATAAGTATATAGATATAAAAATTACTTTTATTATCTCCATAGTACACAGATACATAGGGATTAGGTGAATAGATTACTTGTTAAAGTTTCCTATAGAATTTTTTTACAATTATCTTGACTATAAAATCCTCTGATAGTACACATAACATTTCTAGAATTACCTTTTGCAGCCTTGGAGGTGAAGGAAAAGCCTTTTTTCAAATTTGTGGTAAGAATTAACTAACTATACTATCCATGTGTGTCTTCCTCTGTATTTTACTATACTTTCATAGACTATATATATATCATTTCCAAACAACCTATTATTGTTCTAGTATAAGAAGATCAATAGATTTCAATCTAGAAAACACTCCTGCTTTTATCAAAGGTACTTCACTTATTCATCGGTTATATTTCTATTCAAATTTCTGAGTATTATTGTATGTACCTATAGTAGTAGACATAGTAATAACATCTTTCATTGTTTTAAATCCAATTATTATCTATAACCTAACATAAACCTGCTAAAAATTTCATATATTATAGTTCAAATATGTCTTTTACTACAATTTGTTGCTCATTGTTAGCTATAATAGCCTTAATTTATACATTATGTAATATAGCTACACTTACTGATCTAATTCACTTTGTAACTCTTTATAGGCTTGGAACCATGGATAAAGGGTTTTCATACCTTGATGAGCTAAATAGTAGTAGCAAAACTTACAGTGTGAAAGTTAAGGTAGTGGAGAAAGCAAGAGCAAAACCATCTTCCAAGAAAGGCCTTTTGTATCAGATTCTGTTACTTACTGATGCTAAGGTAATTGCTTTATGTAAACTTATAATATGTTTAGTTAGAACAATGTTAATTCTTTATTATGTCTGCATGATGATATCCTAGAAATTTGATGGCACTAAAATATTATACATATAGACCAGAAATACTTACAAGTGTGCATTTTAGGGTAATAAAATGAGAGCTGCATTATTTGGAGATCAAATTGACAGTTTTAGTGATGCAATAGTCTACAATGGAGAGTATATAATTTCGAATGCACCTATCAAACTTATTGAAGAACAGTGGAGATCCAACAATGGTGAACTACCTTACCAAATGACCTTTGGAGGACAAACTGTTGTTAGACCAGCAAATTCTGATATGCCAGTTGGTGGCCCAATATTTCAGTCTATACACACAATACCTCGTATCATGATAGCAGACTCTAAATATGGTAACTTATATCAAAGATTCTCTTGAAAAGTCTATTCCAAACATTACATAATCACTAAGTCTTACAATTTGTTGCTTAATTATGTTTGTTGTTCGCTTTCTAGATGTTGTCGGAATTGTTCTTTATGTGGAAGAAAAGCTACGAGTTATCAATTCAAGCCAAGGTCGGGAATATCATGTCAGAGAGATTGTTGTGACAGATCACACGTAAGCTTATACCTGCATCCTTTATAGTCTACATTTTAGAAACCTAAGGTTGATATCATGGTTAGGAGGGGTTTTTTTTAAAAAAAAAAATAAACAGAAACTTAGATGCTTACATGTGTATCTTTACTGACAGAAACACTCAGCCTTTTACTATAACTGCATGGAATGATTTGGCTAAAATGGCTTGTGATGCTCTGCATACATGTGCCAAGGATTTTGCTGTTGTTGGTTTTACAACATTAAGACCTTCTTTACATAAAGGTAACAACAGTTATTTAGAGGAATTTCAATTTCATATCTCATTCACAGATTACATCTAACTTCTGTTAATGATAATGAAGGATTCTCGCTATCTACTGGTATGTCCACTGAAATCATCCATGATCCCAAGGGAGAGAAAGCAGACATTCTGCATGAATGGTATACCTTCACAAGATTCTATATGATTTATTGCTTTTATAACATAATTGTGCTCAAACGTTTGATATCCCTTGCAGGGCTAGGATTCATACTCAGTTGCTATTACAAAGGCAGGAAAAAATATTGCAAGTTCGATGTCAAACTTTAAATGACAACTACACAAAGATTCAGAACTTGCGAGAAAAGAAGGTTCAAGTACATTCACTATTGGTTAAATAATAATACTATGCTTCCTGTTTTCCAATTGAATTAAATTGAAGGATGCCCTTGTGTTTACATTGCAGGCACATAATGTATTACAAGAAGAACGCCACTGGTTGAATATAACAATTGCCCAACCTGAGGTTGATAATATTATTGCTTATATCGGATGTTTTAGCTGTGGAAGACGTACAAATGTTCATGTAGGGACAGGATTCTTTTGTGGTGGATGCAAAAAAGACAGCAATGCTTCATACCGGTAAAATAAAATCCTAAAGAAGTTTAAGGAAAACTGTCCAATATGTAATGCTAACATATCCAATGGCTTCTCATGATACAGAGTTACTTTCAAATTTCAAGCAGTTGATGATTCTAGAGCTATGACTTTCACAACATTCAACAATGATACAGAAAAATTATTTGGGCAGAATGCACAGCAAATTCATTTTATAAGAGATTTTGTAAGTGATATACTAGAGTTATAAATTTTGCACTACTTTCTCAGGATATATACTTATTAAAGACTATTATTATTCACAGGGAGCTGAAAATACATTCTTGCCTATTGTACGTAGACTACGTACAAGTCAGATTTTAGTACAAGTTGGCCCTACAACAGCTCTTTCAAGGAACAATGTCCTGGAATGGTGTTTGAAAGGAATTGAAATTAATCCAAAAGACAAAAATGAGAAAGTGCCTACCACTTTAGTTGCTGAGAATTTGCATACTGATGTAATTACGATGCATACAGACATTACTTCAGTTGGTACTGTGAATCAACTATCATCAGAGAATAATGAATACTCTGCACAATCAACAGTTGATACTTCTGATAATGGAAGTAATCCTGAAAATGCAGCAAATAGTTCACAAATTGTTCATGGGGAAAATTAGGATGCCCATGATTATAAGCTAAACCTGCATTCTGTAGCAAGTGCATAGCAAAAGGCTTGCGTTGAGGACCCAAAGAAAAAGATCAATACTGATGCACAAGACTTGATAGCTGGGTTACTACCAAATATTTCTGAATCAGATCATAGCAAAGATGTTTATTCAGTTGATGATGATTCAAAGACACCTGCAAAGAAAATTGGTGCACCAGAAATTGATTTGGATTGTCTTCCACAGCAAAACCCTGGTACTCAGAA